GTAATAATTTGCACGTATGTCTAAATGATGAGTAATATGAAAACAGATATAATGATAGTCACTATGAAGTACTTATTTTTTCCCAAACCAGTTAATAAATTCATTAAAACGATTTTTTTCCCTTCAAAAACGATGTTTTAATAAATCTCTTTTTTCTAACTGCATTCAGAATTTCCCAGGATTCCTTTTTTTTGCATTTTTGCCCTGTGTTTTCTGGGTCAGCATAGCCTTACTCGCTATTAGGAGAGGAATAATACATGACGGCCAGTAGCAGGAGGCAATTTGTACAACCTGAACCAGGCTTGGACGTGTAGGGAAGAGCAGCACTCGTCTAAATCAGAGAGCAAACGTTCAATTACAAGGCCTGTTCTGAAGCTGCGGCTCCTGCTGACTTCCTAAGGGGAAGGCCCTCTTTCTTCATCAAGAGTTTCTTCCTCCTCCCCTTCAGCCCGCCGGCAGCAGGAGTTGGATTTCTGGCTGTTACACAGCCCACTCGTGGCAATGGATGTGCTGGGGGTACTCCTGTGATGAATGACCCTGGTTAAGGGCCTGTTAGCGACGGGAGCTCGATTCCTCTCCCTTCACTGCAGCATTACGTGCCGTGCGTTGGCATCGGCCACGACACGGCCTTCTGCAATTAGGGTAGGTAAATTCTGTCTATAGGTGCTGATTCCTTCCCTAGCTTCCTCCCAGGGACGGGGCTGTGAGGCAGCCCCAGCTGCTTTGTCTGAGAAATAACCCGCCTAGATTTGGTTCTGCTTGAGTACGTGACTTTTGTGGGGTATGGGGCTTGTGCTACTCTTTATAGGGAGATTTTGAGGTGCAAGATGAAGGGTTAGGCAGTTGCTGTGTAAAATTTAGGGAGAAAAATAAGAAAAGCAGCGACCCTCTTAGCGTTTATTTCTTGGTTTCCATTCTGTCCCTCTGCATCTGTATTGGGTTACAGTTTGCCATGTGTGCTATCTGCCTGGAGTGAATTGAAATAAATAAAAGGCATTTCAGCTACTTTTTTTTTTACAGGAGGAAAACAGACTTCCCTGACTACTAAAATTTATTTTCTGAGCAGTTTATTTACTGTCCACACAGTCACAGCTGCAGGAAGTGCAAAGTGGGACAGGGAAAGGAAGCAAACTTTGGTGTGAAATGCCCCGTGAGCCTGCCAGCAGAACAGGGGCCGTGCTCCTCATTCACCACCAAGTGAGGAAAGGAAGGTAGTTCAATGAGCAGCATAAGCTCCAGCTCGAGAAAAAGAATTTATGAACTGTTTTATTTGAGATATTGCCTAAAGTTGCTTTTGAAAATGGTTGTTAGTCACCTCTGTCACGTTGATGCTTTTCAAATTGTATTTCCTCTTCAATTTCTCACTTTGTCAGACAGCAGTAATTAAGGTTTAGCGTGCGGAATTTGAGCCAGAAAGGAGTCCCTGTGCAAAAGATGTACGTGGGCACTGGGGAGTAAATTTAGCAGCCTCCTAGTTGTAAATATTTTATCACTTTATCTCTGAGATTATGACCATGATACACAATGGGAGTTGGAGATGTGACTGAAGATGGCAATGCGGCTGTCTGCTGAGGGTGTTTGTTCACCAGCGGGCAGCGGTAGCTGGTTGAGCCTATCTGGCTACTGGGTAAGTGTTAATTTATATTCACCAGAACCCTAAGCCTGGGAAATGAAAGGAAAGCTCTAATAGTTCAGTAGCTAAGGCAAAAAGATTCTCTCCAGAAACACCCAGCACTGGTCATATTTTTTTCCTGTCTCTCACCTTTCTAAGTCTCAGATCTTCAAGTAAGAAAATGTACTTTGGTTTGCAGAGGGAAGGATGGAAGAATCACCAGGCTTGCATTGGCTTTGACAAATTATATCAAAGGCTGAGGATGAGCAGCCAGCAGCCAGCCCTGTAACCCTTGCCTGGTCTGTGGGCTGTTCTGTATCATCTGGAGCAGATCCAGGTGAACGGTGATGGAGATGTAACTCTCTGAAAGTAATTCTTCTGAAAATTTTATTGCTCTGAGAGTGAGCTAAGGAGCAGATCCAAAACTTGTCATCCAGACCCAGGCTCATACAAACCATTGAAGCTGTAGGTTGTTTTGGTCAAGCACTGCCTCTGTCTTACTATGCAGAGAGGAATTAGGAATTAATTACTGCTTACCTAAAGCCTGTGCTGTATTTAGGGTGCTCGTTCTCTGCTGGGTAACTCCAGCAGTGCTTGGAGAGCTAGATAAATGCAAAGAACCATGTATTTGGATCTCACTGTGCTTGTAGTTACAGCTTTACTTCAGATATGTTTCTAATTAAAGCCAAAAGACGAAAGTACTCCTTCTGTAAGGTATTACACGGTTAATTCTGTTTCTCCTTCAGTTGCATGATAGAGATGATAGATGAAGCTACCAGATAATTTGTACTTCTGGCATATGGGTTGTTTGTTTTTTGCAGCTGAGCAGAGTGACAGCTCTGGGCTTGCCACTGTGCCGAGTGTTATAGATTGCATTTACAATTCCTCCATCATTCTGTATTTGCATGGACATTTTAGTGCCTCTGGACTTCGCGCAGTTATCTCCCAGGATTATCAATAGAATCCCCAAACATTAATGCATCCAATCAAGGTAATTGAAAGAGAGAGGCTTTATTAAAAAGAAATCTTGGCAAGGCCTGTAGCTTATAGAATAAGATTGTTCTATAGAATCTCTACATCTGAGGCAGAAGAAAAGCCTCTTACGTGCAATACAAAGCAACTACACCAAAAATAGCTGCTGCAACTGAGATCTCGCTGTGTTTGGTTAACCTGTGGCTTTGCAGCAAATAGCAAGGAATGACTTGAATAGTTTAATTTTCCCCTCATTTAAAGCATAAGTTGTGTGTACAATAGCGAGTTATGTAATACCATCCAGAGGGCATGTTTCTAGCAGTTTTCAGGGTCTTCACTTTGAATTTATACCACTTGTTTATATTCAGCATGAATCGATGGCTGCAGCAGCTGCATTAATGAAACATAACGTCTATCTGAGCGGTGAAAGGCAGCAAATTTATTCGCCATAGACTTGCTAGTTGAAGTGTAGGTAACACAACTACATCTCTGCTTCTGTTTTGATTGAGAGCAGTGTGGCTGGGGGTCCCCTCGTTGCCCCGCTGATGGTGTGCTGATTCAGTTCTCCCTAACGGCCCCAGAATATCTAGAATATCTATCTAGAATATAGAATCTACGTGTGTCTACATTATATGTAGTGTCTACTGTTGTCATCTACTGTCTACTATTTTTGTCTATCAAGAGTTGTCTTCCCCATTATTTTAAAGATCTATGTATCGATGACAAAAGGTAGCAGACTTGGAAAAAGCAGCAGCTGGGAATCGTACCCTGACCTGAGTAGGGCAGGCACGTATCTGATGGGGTATCAGTGAGTGGAAGATGTAGGTGTGGAGCTTCCCGGGAACTCCAGCTATTTGCACTCTCAGTGTTTTGATGCCATATCAGATAATGCTCTCTGCCTTAGAAGAAAGAGGTCTCTCAAGCTCTCAAGTAAGACACATTTTCTTGTATTTACTGCATCTTTCCGCAGCACATCACAAACTGATTTTCAATCTTCAGCTGTACTGGCTGGTCCATATGTGTCTAAGTGGCGCTGCCTTCTGATAATAGTTGGAAGATAACCTGGTTGTTGCAGTTCTTGTAGAGGTTTTTAGCTCAGCTGTGTGAAGTTCCTGTTTTTCAGCAGATGCTCAGGGCCAGGATTTCAGTCCCGACCAGTATATGTGTGTGTGCTCACGTACATTATGCACCACGCTTTTCCTTGGCTGTGGTCAGTAGACAGACTGTTTTACCACAATATAGCTTGGAGTTAATTGCATGGAAGATGGAGAGTAAAGCAGAGAAAATGTGTATCACTGGTGTAAACTTGTCATATTTCACCGGGAGACATTGAGCAGACCCTAACAAAAACCTGTCATGTTACAAAAATGCTGTAAGATGGGTAAGAAGATGTGAAGCACTGATGTAGAAAATGTTCTCACCTCTTTATGCACTGTCTTATGTTAGTAATGCCAGAAGGATATTTTAAGATTCTTTATTTTTTTTTACCACTTGTGCTGTTCCCTCTTTAAGTTTGATTACATAATTCACAAATTTCACATCCCATTACTCATTTATTAATGTCCTACTGCAGGGTCATGGCTATTCAACAATGCAGAAATGTGTCTGTAGCGGGTTTTTTTGTTCTTTTTAGCACTTGTTTCTGACCATTTCTTTACCTTTTAAAACTCGTACTTACAAATCTAAATTTTGGACCCAAATCAGTTGGAACTATACCTTTAAAAAAAAGCCCCAACCCTTTATTAAAGTTACCCCAGTGTTGCTGTGTCAGCATCACTGTGATTAACCTGCCATACAAATGTGGGTGCCATAAAATGAACTTGCTCCAAGGCAGCTTTGATTTGCATGCTCAACATTTTCCAAGTGTTGCATTTATAAATCAGGACTTTTTGTCTGTGCCTGTTCCGGGTACGTGTTTTTCCTTCATTCTCCCTTCTGTCCTACAGCCCACCGTGTTTATCATGACCACGGGAGAGCTGCACAGCTGGTAGATTTACATGGAGAGGTAATGATTCTGTTTCTTAGGTATAGGGGAAAGCTGACCTATTCCCCAGGCTTTCTAAAATTAATACACACATCATTAATTGCTTGTGAGAGGAAAAAAATGAAGAAAGGGAAAAAAAAGAACACAAAAACCTGACTTGCCAGTGCATTAGATTAGTAGGCAGTGCAGCATTACAGAAGGAATTACGTGTTCCTAGCCATTGTAGCATGCAACGTGCTACATTCATCACACCTGAGTTCATCTAAGCAGAGCCACTAGCAGAATACCTCTAAATTCCTTTTTCTTTGAAATTTAGCATTTCTTTGCAACCAGCCATCTCAAACAAATCTAGCCCAGCCTTTTCACTTTCCAGCAGACTTTCTAGGCATAGTGGTGACATCCTAAGAAGTGAAAGAGGTTACTGTGGGAGAGGTGGAAGGCCGATCTGGAGCAGTAGTGCATTTTCCTGTGTTGTACCCAGAAGAATTTAGCACCCCTAAGAACAGGCTGTGACTTCTGATTCAGCAGAAATGCCAGCAAGTGGCACTTTCCATGCATCATATGTAAGAATGATTTCAATAGGAATAATAGCTCATTTCAAAGGACTTTCAATATTAGTATTTATTTAAGTGCTAATTCTTTCATTGACACCCTTGTTTCAGAGAACACAGGAGAAGAGATTGGATAACACGGCCTAAACAGGCTTGAAGCAGAATAAAGGGATTTTTTTTTGTTGTTGTTTTCTTCCATTTCTTTGGTATTTCACTGAAGTTTTTCTTTGACTTTGCTGCTGTTGCTACCTTAATTTTTCACAACAAATGTTGCACCGCAGGATCTGCAGCTCTGCACATCAATACAGAAAGCTCTACGTGGGCAATAGCCAGAGAGGGCCAGTATTTATTGCACCAAAGACAGGGATTTGCTTTGTTGGTGTGGTGGGTTTCTGCTTTTCCTTTCGGAGGCTTGGAGGGAGTTGTTCTTGGTTTTGGTTGTTCTAATATTATTCTCTTGTCTCCAGGCAAGAAAGCAATTCTCCCTTGGCCGTGGAAACATGTGGTGTAACCTCATGTCTTGCTGGTGGGGGATTTAAAACCGCCACTATAATTTACATGATAATTATGTCATATTTTTTACTTCCCATACAAGTTCCTCCTTGTTTGAGACTGTTCTGTCCTTTAGCAAGTAGTGTGCTCACCGTGGCTCTGTGGGGAGTTCTCTGCAATCTTGTTAAGTAATATAACAGAAAAATGGCTCATCTGGTGATTTCAAGGGGATTGCACGTTTAGAGGGAAAATCCAGTGGATGGGACAAGGAGGACAATTCTACACCATGCTACAGGAGTAGAACAAATATTTAATCTGGTCGTCACGGGCTCGCCCTTCTTTTAGCACATTTTATGGTGTGGTTCTTGCTGCAGAGGATGAGCAGGAAGGTGGCTGAAGAAAAGTCTGAGGAGCAAGTGGTGGCCATGCAGAGGAGATGCCTGTGCAAAACCAGGATCTTCTCTGGGCTCAGTAGGATGCAAGCAGTTTGCACATCACAAGTCCACCTTCTGCTTTGTGTTCTAAAGGGGATGGCCAAGCCTAGAGAAGTATTACAAACTTGCCCTGAATGCCATTTTTTCCTAATCTGGATGTGAGGACGTGCAGTAAGTCTGACAACTGTCCCCATGCTGGTAAGAGCAGTTTGCCAGGAGCCGCGGTGTTTGTCCTGCTCGGAGAGGAGATCGATCGTCCTGGCCTTTGCACGGCTCTGCTCCTCGACGTTCGGCTTCGCCTGTTTGAAATACAAATGATAGAAATTAGTATATTAGCGGGAGGCTGCAGAATGTAATTGTACATTGACTGAAACGCTCCTGATGGATGGAGCTGGCGAGATGACATCTCGTATTTATGGAGAGGAGAGCACAGGTAGTTGATAGATTTGACAAGAGCGTAGTGGCAAACCAAATAACACGAAGCCAGAATGAGAATGTATTTCCTAATGGCCTCCCTCGCAGCTGTATACACTGATTTAATCTCTCCAAAGCACTCCATTGTTTATGAGGCCTGTGGGTACAATTTTATGCCTGACTGAAGAGGTTGCTAATAGCTGCCATATTTGTGTTTAAGGACCTGCAAAGGATTCGGCTAAGTATTTTAAAGCAATGAGCCATAATAAAGTAATAATATATTGAAAATAATAAACAGCTTTTTATTCAATAATTGGCTGCAAAACTGGTGAACTTTAAATGACAAAACTACTAATTATAAATGCAATTGCTAATCATATATTCATTAGGGAATGCAAATTAAAACCGTGGCATAAAGTCTCTATATGTGCCAGAGGCAACAAGTTGCGGAGCAGGACCGTAGACTCTGTTTAAAAAATAAATAAAAAAAATAAGAGAAAACAAAATATTAATGCAGGAAAAAGTGGTGATTACTCAGGATTGCTTTGTAAAGGGATAAAGCTCCTCTGTGGGGAGGGAAGTGCCTGTTCTTGGGGTGAAGGTGTGACGGGCCCTGCTGGGGCATTTGGTGTCTCAGCCAAAATGAGGTGTGAGATGGCAGGGGGAGGTCTCAGCGTGGCTCTGGATGTTGGTAGCTCATCCAGGAGGAGATGGGGCAAAGTGCTGCTTCTCCTCGAGGCAGCCTGTGCTGGCTGCATCGCACCTGAGGTCCCTGCTGGGTTCGCAGTGGGGCTGCCCACCTGGAGCAGCTGTGTCTAGCAGGATGAGAAATGAGGAGGCACACCTGGATCCGAGGCTCCTCTCGTAAGATTTGTCTCCTGTTAACGCTTCACAAGCAGATTTCCCTTTCTTTAATGAATATATAAAATATACTGTATATTAATTTCCTCTTAGGAGCCTTCGGATTTCCTTTAATGACTTGTGTCCCTCAAGGAGCTCGCAGTGCCAAGTTTATATAGAGATTCCTAAGGAATAGCCTAGGGGACGAGCAGCACAGCACGTGCTTCGTGCTCTCCAGGAAACTACAGGTATGGGAACAGCCCCAAAGCCTTGTTGGGCCACCAAGGCAGCCGTGGCTCATTGTGTGCAGCCCCACAGACAGGCTCCCCCAGCTCAGAAGCCCCATAAGTCAGAGCCACCTCTAATAGGGGCACTGGGCAGCCTGTGGTGTCACCAGCTGTGGCTGTTGAGCTCTCTGGAAAAATGGATTAGGTATTTAGACACTTGCATGTAAATTTTAGGTCCTCGCCTTAAATATCCATGTAAGAAATACCTCAGGGGGGAAAACATTTATCAGGCAAGACATGGTTAGAAATAATCATTTTTATTCTGCTTCCTATAGATTCTATCTTGATTTTTATTTTCTTGTTTCCCTGGCATCAGCAGGCTGTGCTACGTGTGCCTTTCTAGCTAAATGGAGCAGCTTCTGTGCAGGTTTGTGAATCCCCATCCATTTCAGGTGCCATTTCAGGTCGGACAGCCCTCTACAAAATGTGCAGCTGGAGGTCAGGCTTGACACAGAAGCCACCAGATGAAATTTGGACATGGTTTAATGCAGGAGATTATTTGTGGTGATGGGGGAAATCTGTCCTGAAGATGTTCCCAGGGTGGTCCCTGCGTGTCTGGATTACTGCAGGACTGGGTGGGTGCGGAGGCTGCTGGGGCACCCTGGTCCTTGTTGGGAGGGGGGAGGCAGCAAGCAGCCAAGATTTGGAGTTGCAGGAAGTTAATTTTTCAGTGACCACAGGAGAAAGCCCATTTCTTTCTATTTTTCAGTGTTAGACTTCAGAGAGCGAGAACAGAAGCCTGCAATTTGTCTAGCTACAAAACCAATTAGCATAGCTCTGCTACACTGAATTGCTTGGGAAGACTTTTCAGGGGAGAAAAAAAATGAATAAGAAGAAACAATAACTTTATGAACATTGTAACTCATTAAAAGACAGCTTTTAGAGTGTGAAGGGACTGAAGCCATTGAATAAATTATTATCACTGCAGATATTCAGCCCGATGTGAATTGCACAAAATGTGTCCAGATGTGAGATCCCCTCCATCAAGCGGAACTGTTGGCTGCTCAGTCTGTGCAGCTGCCTGGAGTGTGAGGTTTCGCTGGGCTCCCACCTAGGCAGAGATGTTTGAGAGGACAGATGTTCCCTTAAAGCAAATCCTACTGAGTTACAAGGAAGAACAACCCCCTGGTTCCCTGACCCAGAGGGAACCCCAGCTCTGGGGGCTGTTTTTTGGTGGGGGTGGTTACCAGCGAGTGGCACAGGTACAGGTGCCAGCAGTCATGCATCGTTTGCAGGCAGAGCAAACGAGCCATGTGTGTGGAATAACCCCTTTTGCCAGCTCCTTGTGGGGGCTGAAAGTCAGCTGTGGTCTTTGGGGACCAGTGCAGTGCCCGGAGTAACATGGATTTAAGCCTCTCAGCAGCCCCCAAAGGGCTGTGGGGAGAAAGGGCTTTAGGATGCAAGAGGCAGAAGAAAAACCGAGCTGCTGCTGTGAAATACTTAAGCTGATGATAGAGATTTTTGTATTCTTTCTGGCCAAATTCAGTGATTTGGTTGCTGAGAGCGGGAGTGACTCTGCAGTGCATAAAGGTACGTTCCTCTCTGAAATGATGTACTTCTGTAGAGTGTGATCGTGTAGGCATGCAGGTGTCCTGCAAACAAGGTCAGGTGTGTATTTCTGTTCACCTGGGGGAGTTGTGGAACCTGTTTGCATGTGTGTTTGCAGTGGATCAGCTCTGCAACAAAGCTTTTCAAGCAAGCTGCTTTCTGGATGCTGCGAGTTAAGTCCTGAAGCAGCAAACAGCTCCCTCATCCCCATGGTTGGGGCTGGTGCTGACTTGAAGGTACCCATGCTGGGAGTTGAAGATCAGAGTCCTAAAATGAGGATGAAAGTTGTTTTGTCTTTTTTTTTTTTTTTTTTATAAGTCTGTACAACTCAGCTTTACCAAAGCTCTACATTATTGTGTTTTGCATGCACTATGTGGTGTTTATAGGGATAACCTGTTTTTATAACATCATTGGTCTTGGCAATCAGCACGAGGAGTTTCTTCTCTCTGGACTAGCGGTTGCTTTGCTGCTCCTTCCTTCTTTGTATCACCTCCCTGTGGTGTTGGGTGGCCCCAGGGAAGTGGCTGTGGATGTCACCAAATGGTTCCTACGCTCCTCAGCTGCGCGATTTAATTTTTACCCTGGTTGTTGTAGCGATACATTAACAAATTTACAGACAAAGGTGGTAGGAGTGTCACGGAAAAGACAGGTTTAATAACTACTTGTAGAGAAAACAAAAGCAAATCCAGTGACAGTCCTGGCAATTCCCACCTCTGTTATTGCTGACAGACAGAACAAGAATAAAAACAAGCGGGTTTACATGCGCTGACGCTAATATACAACCGGTGGTGATGTCCTGAAGGAAATGTCAGCAATTAGCATGAACGCTGCCGCAGTTACAATCCAAGATTTGGCTACGGAAAGCACGAGGTTTAAAGACTGAGCCCGGGAGCCTTCCCCCAAATGCTTCCCTATCCAGACACGTGTGGGGGGCTGTGAGCCAGCTCAGATGAACTTCATGGCTGGCTCTTCTGCTCTGAAGGGCTCTCTCAAGTGCACAGGGGTGGCTTTTGGTGTGCTCTTCGAGATATCTGAGAGCAGGACAAGGGTTTGGGGTCTTTCACTTTGCATCAGCTGCTCAATCTCCCCTGCTTAATCTGAAACCGGACAGGGAAAAATAAAAGGGGGGAGGAAACTGCCACACCATTGGTAAAAACTGCCACACCAATTTATGCTGCATTAAAAACCTTTCCCTGAAGCAACGCTTTAATAAGATTCCTAGTCAGAAGTCAAACTCTGCCTAGTAATTCATTCTAAACTCTCGTAATGCATTTATTAGCGTGGAAACTGCAGAAGTGAAGTGACCAAATTTGAGGTCCATACTCAAAATTAGCAAAATTCAATGTCATTCTGAGTGAAAAAGGAAGGAAAATGAGTGCTGTAACATGCAGGGCGATATCCTCTGCACTAGCAGAAGGCTAAATGAGCATTGTTTGAAATAACATTTTATTAGGTTTCCTTAAAGTGGATACTCAGTCTGATAGATTATTTTTTTTTATCTCAGATAAAATTATTGAAATGAGAAATGTTCCATTATAAAGGAATTTGTTGAAAGACAGGGATGCACTTTATCATATTATAGCTCTTGCATCGTATTAAATGGTACTTACGTGTTTTATTGAAATCCAGACCTCTTGCGTAGCGTTTCTTTCTCAACAATACAAAAGCTTATGATTCACAACCTTTTACATAATAGATACATTAATGAATTTCTGCATATTTTATTGCTTTGTATTATTCTGAAAGCCATTAATCTATTTTTCTTGATTATCAGTTATGGCAAAGACATCATAATTTTTTTTCTCTGAATTTCATTGTGCCAGCCAAGTTCAGGACTTTCCAAGCTAATTTCTGTAGCTACCTGTTGGACCCGATTCTTCTCTTCTTCCTTTTTCTTGTTGGAAACCATATCCAGCTGAAGACCCAGTGTATTTTTTTCTGAATACAGGAGGATAAATTCTCCTTTGGGGTACTTGCATCTTCTCTCATTCAAGTAGATGAGAATTGTGCATATGAATCTCAGGCCCTAATTATGTGTCTAATAATAGAAACTTCTTGCTATAAATACACAACTCATTGAAATCATTCCTGCTTGTTTAGGCTGCAGACGTGACTTGTGCATATTCATTAACCTCTAGGGCTCCACTTGAGAGGAGGAGATGGAGGGTTAACAGAGGGCCTGCCAGGACAGGGAGCGGGGCTGTGCCACCTCTCGTGGGGGTGAAGCTGTGATCCTGACCTTAGATATGTGGATACACATTTAAACTTACTTTTCTATTTGCTATAAATGATATAAAGTCAAGATGTCTGTTTCTAATTCCTTTGTGGATGAGCCTGAAGTTTTTCAGAGATCGGTGTGGTTTGCAGGCATGTCATGGGGAGCTGGTGCACGTAGAGCAGCCCAGTGTTAGTCCCAGAGAACGTGGTTTTGCTAAGGATCACTGCCTGCACGGCTCTGAGCAGTGGTTTGCATGAGAATGGGAAAATCTGTCGTACATCTCGTGTGCTGTGGTCTTGACAAGGCTACATCAGGATGTTTATTTGTGTAAGGCTTTCATTTCCCCCTCAATGGCTTCAGTTACCTTCCCAACAGGACATCAGTGATTAAATAAGAGACCTTGCATTCCCGTACATAAAAATGGATGGCAAAGATGTAATTTCTGTGGTGCAGAAGCAAATGTGTGGACCACAGACCCCTTAAATCCCATGTAGCCCACCCCGTGGGGCCGAAGGATGCCCAGGTCCTGCAGTGTCATCTGCAGGGAGCAGCCCGCTGTGAGAGCAGGTCCTAGTGGTGTGGCTCTAATTACCTAATCCCATGGATAACGACGTGGCAGAACAAGCTCTTGTTTTACCCCGGCAATTATTGATTGATATTCCCGGAGTGACAGCAAGCGTTTTTATTTTTACGTCCAGCAACAAGTTGTCATGGCAACTTCAGCGTTGGGCAACGTTCCCATCGCACCCTCGTCCCGAGCAAAAACCCAGCAGGTTCGGAAACTCTTTAAAAATGATTACGGTAATAAATTTTTTAAGATAAGTTTTACTTCTTGTCTGC